TGAGAGTGAGTGGTGCTGGAGATGCACGTAAACAGGAAGGGAAAGGGGGCCTGTGGTATTGGCCCAAGTCAACACCACATGAATCACCCGATCCTGTTCCTGAGTGCTGGCAGCCAGGTCTTCTCAGAAAGAGAAGACATGGAAATGGTGTTACAGGAAGGCTCTCAACTTGGGGAGCCAGAGGAGGCTTAAACAAGCTGTGAGGCTGAACTTTCTAACCACTTATGTGGTCAAATAGTATTGCATGGAGCTGGAAGACAGAGAGCAAGCTATGGCATGGTTGGCAGGTTTTATGAGGTGCAGGAATCCATCTGCCTGGTGGTGAGCAGTCAAGAAATGTATGGGTCATGGATGAACATGAAGGCATGATTCCTGTTAACTCTCTTTAAATGCAAGCATGGACCGTGGGAGCCAGGGGGGTGGGGGTGGGGGAGGAGGTGGACGGATTCAATGAGTTTGGGTAAAGAAATAAGCATTTTCTGGTAGAACACAGCCCCTTTTAAATGCCAAGTCATTTAAAAACTGGCCCAAAACCACCATGGTGGACCAAACTGAATGTGATGGCCTGAGTGGATTGCAGCTTCATTTTGATACAAGTCAGACAGGAAGGAAAAAAAGAACATGGTCTCCGGAAGGAAGAAAAGAAAGGATATGAGTTAGATGAATAGTCTATTTCTGATCAGAGGAAAAACACAGCTAGATGATAATGGGAAGCAAGTAGGAGTATATGCCCAAGGCCCTGTCGTCAGAAACCCTGTCGTTAGAACCTGAGAGGAAAACATAGTCATTTATTTGCCTCCTGGGAGACTGGGGTCTAGATTCTTCACAGATACCAAACTCTGCTGATGCTCTAACTCCTGTATTCCTCCACAGTTGGCACAGCGCTCTTAGAGTCTGCGCTATCTTGAATTATAACAATAGATGTCCAAACTGGATTGTGGCTGTGATCTCACCATTCCGGGACCTTTTCCTCCATGACTCTCTAATTCACTTTCCCAGCACCCTCTGCTGACTCTTCCTATTGTATCCCTGGTTCTTTTCTATGTGTCCTCCAACATTTGTCAACTGAAAAGCAATTATTCACTCCAAACCCATCCCATTCTCCATCCCAAACACCTGGCTTTGCAATGCCTCCATTGGGGGACCCCCAAAGTCCCATCATGGAAAACACAAGGTCTGGATGGGGCCTCAGCTGGGCCGACTCTACCCAGGGGGTTACAGCAGATGGATACCACTCTGTGGCCAATTATTTTCCATGGCCCTTGGCCACGTGACCTCAGATCATGATCTTGTCAGTTCTCATAAACTAACCAGCAGTGGAATGAATCACACTTAAAGAGTAAACCTCCAGGGAAGGCACACACGCTGTGGGAGGAAGGAGAAGCTGGGGGACTCAAAGGCTATGGGAGCCTCTGCACCCCTTATGCGTTCCCTGCCTCTGAGTGGCTCTGGCCTGACATGAAGGAAAAGGGAAGAAGCTGTGGGCCTTGGAGACACAAGGAGCTACTCCTGCAGGAGGGCTATTCTTTTGAATAATATTCACGGTTTCAGCCCAAGAGAATAATTGTCCCCTGCAGCCTTGACTGGGATAAATTGTCTTCTTGGGCCACTTATCGAATCATTGATTGTTGACACCCAAGTCCCTATTCTTAGGAGTTAACAACCATAATAATATCAATTGCAGGACAGAGCATGCACATGAGTATTCACACATACTAGCATGGGAAGTGATGAAAATGTACGAGTGAGCCATCCTGGGACTTTGACTTTGTGTGGATGAGGGGGAGGTTTTAAGGCTGTTATATGAAGTATTTACGTGATGCCAAACACATTGATTAAAAGTGGAAATGAAGTGCCAATGAAATCTTCATATGCTCCAATATCCTGAACATGGGTGTTGTGTAAACAGAGTTCTGAACTTCTCTGCCTGATTTTTTAAAAATAATCTTTGGATTTCAAAGTTTTGTGTCTCTGTAGTTTTAGATCATGACTTACCTTGGGTTCTCTGACAAGTTAATATATTGTTAGAGAGGTTACTTCTGAATAAAATATGCACTCATAAACAAATCTTTTAACTATGTATATGTTTTAATTACTTTCCAGGCATTTGTTTGATTCAGTCCTGGAGAGCAGGGTGTATGTAATGTACGTCCGTGGATAAAGCATATACATTTTTTGCATATACAAAACCTCAGAGCGCTGCATGCTATTTTAAGAGTCTGAACTCTATCTTTCAACAAAGTTTAGCTGCTTTCCTTTTGCAAATGCATTTAATTTTATCTGGAAACTTTTTGACGTTAGAAATAGAACAACTGTAGTTTCTCATTACATTTGCTGCCAGAATCCATGCTCGGTTGCTCAACTAAAGACCTTATATTGCTAATTACTACCACATGCCCACATCCCAAGCGAAAGAAAACTTATTGATTCTGACAGCCCATTCTCTCAACATTGAATTCCAAATGAAAACTCAAATTTTGGCCAAACATAACATTTCATCAATCTTGTTCTACTGACTGGAAAAACAACATCAAACAAAGGGTGCTAATGGCCCTTTATTACCATTCCTTTCCCAAGCTTATATTTTTCCGATGAAAGATCTAAGTGACCAAAAGGCTTCTTTAAACTACTTAGTAATTAGCTTTTGAACCAGGAAACAATACATAAAGTGAATGGTCCCAGGATTGATGACAGGAGGGACTCTTGGTCTGTAAGGTCAGGGAGGGGGGCGGGGAGGGGAGTCCCAAAGAGAACTTGAAAAGCAAAGTACATTTTCTTGAAGGGAGAAGAAAAAAGAAAGAGCGAAGAGAGAGAAACCAGCCTGAAAGTGGTGATAAAAGGTTATAGAGCCAGAACAAAGCCACAGGAAGTCTGTGGTCTGCAGTCATCATCCACAGGTGGGGGTTTGAGTCGAAATGGCAGGGCACGGGGCAGCACATGGGGCTGTCCCCATCAGACCAGGGACAGACAAGGGAGTGTTGGTCTCAGGGACTCCTTTGGCCCACCCATCAACAAAGCCAGCCGGCCACCAGCCCACCCACATTGGGCCAGGCATACTATGCTGGAAAAAAAAATTCTTTTTCCACCTGAAGTGATTTTCAAACTAGGCTTCAGAGTAATTGATTTTATTGACTTCTTGGGGGTGGTGATAAGGAAATGCCAGCTGAGACAATGGGATGAGGAGGACATCAAAAGAGTAGCCCCTCCCTCCACCCCCATCCCTCCAACCCCAGGGACCTCAGAATGCTTTCTGCTTTCCCTTGACCTGTCCACATCTTAAAGGAAACCAAACTGAGAAGCTGTTTTCTCTCCCTCTTGGCATAAGATAAATGACCAGAGGGAATCGCTGGACTTATTTGGTCTTTTGGATCCAACAAATGGCCCAGAAATCAGAACAGCTTGGTTCTAACCGCATCCAGGGTCATTAAGGTAATCGGGAGAGGAGGGAGGGGCCCATTTGAGGAAGATGGAAGGCTGTGGCATCCTCACAGGAGAGAAGCCAACTGGCCTCCTCTCCCTCCACTGCCCTTCGTCCCTCTGAACAGAAACGAGGGTCCTGTGGGTAGTTCAAGGAAATGAGCCCAATTCTCCACCTCCTCATTTTCTGAACAGAGGCCTGGACACCTGAGCTCAGGATGCAGTGGCACCAATGACCAGAGAGAGTGAGGGCTCTGCTCCATCCAGCAATGGCTGACAAGATACTGACAAGGGCTCAGTTGTGGGGGGGGGGTTAGTATTTACGGGCTGCATTTATAGTTTCATAAAAAATGAAGTAAGCTAATAATCTGATGATAAAAGGAGAAGGAAAACAAAGCAAAAACAATTTCTGTGGTGGGAGACTCCATGACGTGAGCAACGGCACATGTTCCCCCTTGTAACTCAGATGCCAAGGTCTGCTGAGTAGACCCTAGCAGAGAAGACCCCTCAAGCCAGTGACTGGATATGTACGCATCTGAGTCTGTATGGATCACACCACAAAAGAAGAAATGAGGCTCAGTGCTCCCCCTGCTCTGAGGCTTTAAAAACAAATAAATGAAAAGCCATTACCTTCACCTCCCCCTAACGCTGTCCTATAAAGAAGGTGCTCTGGCAGTAGATGGGGAAGGTAAGGTCTTGCCTCTAACATAGGAGTAGAATGTCCCATGGATACTGGACCAGTGCATTGGTATCACTATTAATACTGGTTGATTGATGTTAATATTAATGACATGGCCAGAACACAAATTAAAATAGTTCCCAAGAAGGAAGAATTCCTGTCTCCAAAGTGGAAAGAAAGGCTCATCAGGAACTTCCTGTACTACAAATAGAATATTTCCTATCCAGAAGAAGCAAGCACTGAGCGATCAGCCCCTCTGAGGAGGAGAACTCATGTCCTAGTGACCACCAGGCCTCTGCTGTAGACAGTGACTCTTTCTTGACTCCTTTGTTACTGCTAGACAGAAACCACCCCTTCAGAGTATCACCATAGTTGCAGGAACTAGAATTCCAACACACAGTCAGATGGTGTAAAGAATGAATGAACTCTGTCTGTTCATTTGGATCAGAATAAAATATAGTTCGAGTTCCATACAGACCCCTTTAAGATAAATCCACTCTATGCCTTGGAACTTGTAAGTAGCAACAAAGCCATTGTGAATATTTGCATATGACAACTCCAGGCGTGATCTCTGATCAGAACATGGATTGCCCTTCACAGAAAAGCACCCAGATCAGCTGGGAGAGGGGCTGCATTCAATGTCACCACCCCAGGGAGTCTAAACAAAAAAAAATCACTCAATCACATCTTCTCTGGTATAACTGACTTACTTTCTGCCTCCATGTTTGTTAAAAGTCCCGCCGAATTTATTCCGATTCAGGATGAGAGCAGCAATTTCGGGCACGTAGCGGGCAAACATTGCCTACATGCATGAAACAAAGAAACAAGAGCCAAAAAAAAAAAAAAAGGCATGCAGAGAGGATTGCACCGTAGGAGAGGCAGCAAAACCTCTTGACGTACTTACTTTCTTCCACTAACCGCACTATAGGAGCCCCCGTATTTCTTGCGGTTTCCTATTAACTCTATGATTTCAGGGACGTAGCTGGCAAACATGGCCTGAGGAGAAGAGGGGAGACAGAAGAGAGACTAAAAAAGACAGGCCAAAGAAAGGGGGAGGACCTTTTCAGAAAGGGGAAGGGATACTAAGATCTGAAAACACAAAAGGATTAGATCTGTGGAAGTACATTTTAATACATTGGATTATAAAAATATAACTGAAGGACAAAAAAAGGGCAAGCTCTTGAAAATACACAGGGCACACAAACATTAGCCAACCTAGACAGGGGAAAAAAGAGAACTGAAAAAAAATCAGTCAAGAAAAATACATAGGAGACAAGAATCAATAAGCTGACATCTAACTCTTGTTCCTAAAGAAAAGTAGGTAACAGAGTTCTTCGCTGGTGAAATTACACATACAAACACACACACACACATATGCACAAATTCATGGTGATCCACTCATTCTGAAAAAAGACCTTCCCTCCTATGAACATGCAAAAGAACATCAATACTTTTTAATGAGTGACTTGTTGAAGACAATAATGCCAAAAGGAAAATTTTTAAATGACCCTTTCCACTTAAAAAAATGTACTCAAAAAGCACAAAAGATAAATTTAAGAAATTACACGAGAGGAAAAGATAGCAAGGGAAACACAAATGTGCCATGTTTTGTCCAACAAACATCTTCCTGTGGCCGGGTAATAATGCTACCACAAAGCCGTGGCTAATGTACACACACACGGCCACATTTATATGCATTTGTTGAAATGTACATGTCCTCTGCATACAACACAGAGAGAGGCATGTATGCATCATTTCATATAAATGTGAGCATGGTGTACATATGTACAAGCTGTGAGTGAGTCAAAATTGGAATCGCTTACCTCATACACAGCACAAACTACACTATTCTACTTTGAAAGGCAAAACACCAGGAAAGCCAATGGGTTGCCAGAAATTCCCCCAAATTACATCATAACGAACAGCTGACTACTATACAAGGAGCGGCACACTCTATACCTCTCTGACTTTGCAAAGAGAAGGACAACACACCAAGGGGCACTGCTGAGCAGAGTGAAAGCTGAACAAAACCATGCTCTGCTTGTAGCAATGTGGTTTGGGCAAGGAGACAGAGTTCTCTGCCTTCTGAGAGGCACGCCTCTCTAGGGCAGGCACCAGCCACAGTGTTTGTTGAAAGTTGGGGGAGGGGGAAGGGTGGGCTGGGAGGGCAGGGAGCATGAATGGGAAAGGTTGCTGTTGAAACCGCAAACTGTCCACAGAGTGTAGACAGCATCTACTGGGGTCAGTTGACTGCAACTGTCAAGGAGAGTCATGTTGAGTTGCACTCTTAAGGGACAGACACTCTCCCTTCTTAATGTCATCTTTTCCTTAAGACAATTTGGCTTTCACCTGACTACACGGAGGCCCCTAAATCAGGACAACATGCTTGGGCCTAAGGGACAAGCATCATCAAGTTCGGATTTACTTAGCTTGATTGCAATACAAAGGCAATCACTCGCTTCTAGTACCACAACACGGTACTTCAAATACACAGCCTTCAGGAGATAGAAAATACCAATGGACGTAAAAATGAACAGGAATATCAAAGAGTTTGACTTTTTCTTTTTTACCAGTCCCCCGAGGATGAAGAAGACCATGAAGAGGCGCCCAAGAGTAGTTTTGGCATAAACATCTCCATAGCCAACGGTGGACATGGTGACCATGAGTAAGTAGACACATTCCCAGTAGGTAAGTGCCTGGTTGTTTTGGAAATTTTCCCATGGGTCCCCTGAATTCTCCACCTATAGGAAGGGGATAAAGGAGAGAAAAGCACATGGTCAGAGACTTCTGGACACAGCATGGACTGCAAGGCTCCAGGGGACGTGGGCTCTGCTTCCATTTACGGTGCTCTCTCTAGGAAGGAGATTTTGAGCCTTCCTCTGACCATCTTCCCACTAAGTCTCCAAGGATTTGGCTCTCAGATATCCTAGCACTGCAGAACTCCCAAACCTTCCACAGGAGATGGAGGTGACTGGGGTTGGGGGGTGGCGGGGGTGGGGGCCGGGGCGCAGGGAGCATCCATTCATTATTTTGACCAGTGAGAATGCCCAGTGGGCCTTCCTCCTATAGATCTGCCTGAACCCCAAACACTAACTCTGAGTTGGATCCTGCTCGGCCTCCTCTGTTAAAAGTCAAGCACGGTTCAGTGCGTCCATCTCAGGGCTTCTCCCATGAGCACAAAGACTGAACTCAGGGGTACAATTTGCTTTTGCACAACCCCTTAGACCCGGGGTCTGCAAACTTTCTCCACAGGGCCAGAGTGTATTTTTAGCTTCGTGAGACAGACAGGTCTGCGTGTCTGACACAAAGACTCAGCTGGGCAGCTGTCACTGAAACTGGAAAGGTATGAGGAACGGATGTGTTGGCACTGGGGGAGCCTGGGACCAGAGCTGTTTTGTCATATAGTCCCATCCTCCCATCTTAAGTAACCATGAGGTCATGGTACAAGGGACCAATACTCGTGACTCCCCCTCACACGGCTTATGGGACAGCCAGTCAGTTCTGCCCAGGTTAGTTCTGCCTCTACAGAATGTTCTGGAACTTGGTTTCTGTCACACACTAGTTTATCCTCTGGGTGACATTTTCCATAAGGCTTCCTGGTGAACTAGAAGGTAGTTACTTTAACAGTAAGATGGAGTTACCAGCTACTTAAAGATAATTATCTCTTCTGCATCTATAGCACTGGCATTTTGATGCTAGGTTTCAAGAATCAGAGAAATGAGGGGTCAGCTTCACCAAGAATCCCACCAGCGAAAAGGGCTGTGTCACCACCCCCAGAGCAGATAGGAAAGGTCGTCATCTTTATTCAGAGTTGCCTGTTATGATGGGGCCTCTTGTGGTTCTATGTAGATGTTTGTATGAAAGACACTACCAACAATTGCTATGCTCTCTAAAGCAGGGAGAAAAATCTGCCTTGGGGAGGTGAGAACTTGACTTAATAATAGAAGCCATGAATTAAAAATAAAAGACTTAACATTTTTGACGTATAAAGTAACTTGACAACTAATCATACAGGAAGATCAAAGGCAGCATTTTGTAAGAGCAAAGTGAAGGGAAAAACTTTAAGGGGTCTGAATTTGTTGTTTACAAAGAGATGTGGGTCAAACTTGCAACCTTAGCCAGAGACCTTTTCTGAGCTTTTTTAAACTGTGGATTCACTGCCATCTTGTGGCTTTGGGTGAGAACTGCAGTCAGAATTCTAAAAAAATCTGAAATCTCCCAAAGCAAGCCTGGCAAGCTGGAAAAGGCAGGTTAATGGTAACACCCTTTGGAACTAGTTTGAGATAGAAATGTTGCAAACTTAAGACAATTAAGGGGTTGCTTCCCTATTCCCCATCTACAACTAAGCTAATACGTCTCGCTAATGGGATTCACCAAGGCGCTTGTTCCCTTCAAAGCTGAAGGGTCTTTACTTACCAAGTGGATGAACCCGGCCGCAGTCAGCCATGTGCTGATAAATATGGAGAGTAAATTCACCAGCTTGATGGAATTGCTGTGGGAAAGAGACAACAAGCAGAGACCCCCAAGTTACAGAGGGAAGACCCTCATCAGAGCTGCTTGCTGCTGGAGGAAGGTAGGCTTTAGTCATTGGAAGGGAATTAGCTCCCACAACCTGTAGGGAGATTGCAGCTGGGCCACTCAGAGAGGATCCAGTATGAACCCTTCTCTAGTTTTGTTAGAACTTGACTTTTACTTTGAAAACTTCAAATCCACAGGGAAATGCAAAGAAAACTTTCCATCAACACCAGGATGACCCATCTAGCTTATCTTTACAAATTCTTTTTTTTCTTGACCTTTCCCTTCATCTTTTCATTCAACTTGCTTTATTTCCACATAAATTGTAGACATCAGAATACAACCTGGATAACTATATCAGCATTCAGCTCCTGAAAGAGGACAGTTTGGGATCTAAGTGCAATACAGTGTCACATCTAAGAAAATGAACATGGGTTCCCTAATCTAATCGAACAGGCAATCCTTATTTACATGTCACCACTTTCCAGGCATCATGGATGTTTTCCTCCCACGCCTACCCCCCAGCTGGGAGCTAATCACAGCCCCAGCTTCACATCTGGATAGTATGTGGCTTTAATTCAGAAGTCGGGATGTTTTCTCTGTGCAGTTAGTGAGTGTTTGAGGTTTTGCAGGCTATACAACGGCTGTTGCCATTACTAGATTCTGCGATTGTAATTTGAAAGCAGCTGCGAAAAATACATGACAGAATAGGTGCGGTTATGCTTCAATAAAACTTCACACAAACAGACATCAGGAGCCATTAGTCCACAAACTATGGTTTGCCAGTCCCAAGTTTAGCCTTTTTTAATCTACAAGTAATACTCACCTCTACCCTGAGGCACCCACCCTTTTTAAAAAAATTTTGTTCTGAATGATGTTTAATTCAAGGTGAATTCAAGCTGTCCTTTAAAATGTTCCAGACTCTAGAGTTGTCTGGCTGCTTCTTCAGGATTAATGCCTGTTTCATCATTTCCGTGAAGTCTCTCTGCTAGGAAATCTGAACTAATAGATGTGAGATCCACTCACTTAGTGAAGGGAGAAACACCAGATCTCCACAACTGCAATCCCCCCATTTCTCTCTGTAGTTCATACAGCATCTTGGGGTGAGATGCTGAGCACACAGGAATGGCCAGCTCCCTAGCAACCTTATAACTAGTCGTGTTCCTATCCACTAGTGTTCCCTGGATGATTTGGCTACCACTCATTAAACTTTAAGCTCCAAGAAACCCAGGGTCTTTTTCTGTCTAAATTCTAGGAACAGTAGGTCCCCAACACACATCAAGGCCTCTGTAAATAGCCAGTGAATAAACTGATCTCTTCCTCTGTGGTCATCCTCAAAACTTCATCCTGCTCACCCACACTGGGGAGAGCTGAGTATTGATGCCACCAAGTGACGTCCATATTGACACCCAATCCCACCCTCCTGTTATCAATACCCCCAGGAAGCCCCAGACCCTCCTGTCACAACTCTTACATGCAAATGATTGCACCAGTCATCATATAGCCAAGGCTATGTATGATTGGTCACCTTTCCCAAACTAGAAAACTTTGCTCATCTATTTTCTATTCCTCTAAGGCAGATTCAGCCCCCACCTCTCCCTTAAATAAAGCCTTTCTTCAATACAATACCATACAATACCATACCATACCTCCAAGACAAAGTGACTTTCCCTTCAGGCTCTCATCTCCAGCTATTCACTGGTAACAAATCCTATGGTCTCAGGCCTTCTTTGGCCAGGTTTTAAGTTGTTTCCTGGCTCTTGTGTTCCCTGCTCTGCCTTCCAGAAGAGATTTCTGTTTTCTACCTTTTTCTCTCTACCAGTAGTACCTACAAGTACAGGCTCCAGAGACGTTCAACCCATCGCTCTGGGTCTGTCCATCCATGGTACCTCTGTCCTCTCCCTGAGCATCTCTTTCTTTTGGGGAACAAATTATCCCCTCCCTAAGAGTTTAATGTCACAGAAATGACAAGAGAGGACACTTCTACAGCGCATGTGAGGTACTCAATACATGTTCCATCTTCTAAGGGCCTTGTGTTCACAACTCATCTGATCCTTCAAATGACCTTGTGGACCATCCTGGATGGCAGGAAGCAGTAGGACTGGGATATGGACACAGGCACTTAGTTTCCAGGATCTGAACTTTCAGACTGGCATCAATGAGAATGCCTTTCTTGATGGCTGCTCTTATTCAGATCCTTCCCCCCTCCTTTGCAGACCCAGGTGTTACTGGGGAGGTCACAGGTTATGCTTTGGGGAGGTACTGGAACCTGAAATGGGTAGGGCCTTGTAGGAGGTCTGTAGGTCATGGAGGGGTGTGCAGTGGAAGGGGACCACGGGACTCCAGTCCCTCCCCTCCCTGTTTCTGTTTCTTGGCCATGTAGTGAGAAGTTCCCAATACCATTTGCTGCTTCACCACCCACCCAAAAGAAGGTGGCCAACCGATTATGGTCTGGAACTTCCAAAACCATGAGTCCAAATAAATTTCTGGCAGGTAGATTGACTAAGAGATTTAGGTGCAGTGATGGAAAGCTGGCTGGTGCAGCCACTAAAAGGCGTGTGCCTCCAGCAAAGAGGAAGATTGTATGGACACACTGCCTCTTGAACTATTTCAGGAAAGCATGGCGAGGAGACTCTCTGATGGCCTATAGTGAAAACCAACACATGACAAGGGTCAGGATGGGGCTTGAGGAGGATCTCTAGCAGGTACTCCTCTGGGGCGGGGTGGCTGCTCCTAGGAAAGACATAGCACCTGAGCCTAGCTTTCTTTTTATTATTCTCCTATGTACCTAAAGAAAGGAATCGCTGGTCTGTTTTCCCAGAACTGATCCTGATTGTTTGTGACAAGAATAAACAAGCATTTTCAGTTTTGTGGGTAAGACTGAGCTTTTCAGATGGCTGGAAGGACTTTTGTCTCTTTCCAAAACATGGATAAGAAAAACAAGCCTGGTACTATAATCCTAGCTACTCACGAGGCTGTGATCTAAGGACCTAGTTCAAAGCCAACCTAGGCAGAAGTCTGTGTGACTTTTAACTTTCAATTAGCCAGCAAAAAGCCAAAAGTGGAAGTAGGGCTCAAGTAGTAAGACACCAGCTTTTAGCAGAAAAAGCCAAGCAAGAGCAAGAGGCCCCAGTAATAAAGCCCAAGGAGGGAGGGAAGGAGGAAGAAAGGAGGATGGAAAGAAGGAAGAAAGAAAGGAGGGAAAGAAGGAAGGAAGGAAGGAAGGAAGGGAAGCAGGGAGGAAAAAGGGAGGGAAAAGGGGAGGGAGGGAGGGAGGAATGGAAGGAGGAAGGGAATGATGCAGGGGAAGAGGAAGGAAGGAAGGAAGGAAAAGAAGGAAGAAAAAACAAGACATCTGTTCTGTTTCATGGCTACTTCTAAAGTTTTCATATCATAACAATTGCTGATGAATGTTGAGCCCTTATTATGTACTACAAGTTGTATTGATTCTTCATTTTTCTTCCATCAACTTTTACCATTGAAGAAGGAGCTATCAATGTGTGTACTCTCATTGAAAGAAAACTGAGGCTGTGGGAGGGGGCATAAATGGCTCATCCAGGGAAATGTGGTTGGTGAGTGAAGGGGTTAGCTTTAGATCTAGCCTATGACCCATAGCCTGCTCACCCAAGTCATTTGGCTAGATGACTCAGGGGGAGCCACATGCGCCATTTTTCTCACCACATTGGCTTTGCCCTTCAAGCTGGCCCTCTCCACACCCTCGGAGCAGGGGGTCAATCAAAGGCCCCCTCCAGTTCCTTTACCAGGGCTGTCTGAGATAAACTGGCAAATGAAGGAACTCTCTCTGATGGGCAGGAACCACTAGAAACATTTTCACAATGTGAGTAGGAGAAAGAGCCCTCCATCTCCTCAGATTTGAGTACAAAAACTATAAACCTCAAGCTCCAGTAGACCTTAGAGAAAGCCTTTCTGAAATGAACTCCAGAGCAGATGCAGACAAAAGCAGCTTCCCAAGGAAGCAATCTGAGCTCTGACTAGTCAGCCATTCTCTCCTGGACCAGTTCTCACTAAGGTGGATTCTATTCCTTGCAATCACAACCTAGTGTGTAACAGAGAAATGGCTGACATCCTCAATGCTCCCCCTCTCCCGAAATATAATAGCTGGCCAGATCTCTAAAGGAGGTATGGGGCTATCTCTACCTAAAAGCAGAGAACAGATGTCCATTCCTCTCACTTTGCTGCCTGACATGACTTAGGATTTGTCCCATGACTCTAGCAGCCCTGGTTCTATCCTGGGCATGCTCTCCTCCCCAAGGCCAAGCACAGGTCTGCCTGCTTCTGACCTTCACTGCTCACCCAGTGGAATTCCCACCTAACAATAATATTTAATAGCATCCATCCAGGCAGCTCCTTAGAGGGGAGACAGAATGTAACTATGGCCTTTCTGCTCCCTGGAGCAGCTGGCCAGGCTAGAAAAATCTCTTCACTGGATTCCAGAATCTTCTCTGGAAGAGCAATCCTGCCAACCAGAGATTAGAAGCCTGAAAATAAGGTAGATAGTTATCAGGGATGTGACTGAGTTTCAACCACATTATCACCACCTCCTGCCCCCAACAGGCTTCTCAACAGGAAACCAAACCCGAGAAAAATCTGCTTCTGCTACCTTTTTGGCCCCTCGAAGCTGTGCCTCAACACTAGAGAGTAAGAACAAGACAAGGAACACAGAGACAGAGGCAAAGGGAGAGATCTTAGAGAGGCATGCAGTTCCTTTCCTCGGGGGAGAATTAAACACCAAATTGATTCACTTACAAACTCCCAAATCCTTGGGGTCTTCACAGAGCACCGAGCCAGGAACAACCACACTGAGCCATTTCAAGATATTAGATCTGTCGGGCGTCTCTAAGTCTCTTGGTGCTTTGGGAAAATGACCTAAGTATGGTGATTATTAATCTCTAAATCATTGTTCCAGGGATACTGATGGGGCTTGAGGGAGCTCTTGCTGTGTTGAGAACATTTAAT